CACACACACACACACACACAAATAATATGGGTTAATATGCAACCCTGTTTATGCATAATCTTGTTATGAATGTTACAACTCTTGAAATGTTAACACCCAGGAAATACTCTTTCTACAGCATGGTAGGAAAATAAGTAAATAATTTCATTTCAATTTTTACAAATATTGTAGTACTGACTGTATTCGTCAAGCTCTTTCAACTATTTATTCTAAGAAAACATGATCAAAACAATATATTTCTTCAGTTTAGGGCAAGGCAACTTTACAGATCTTCTTTATGCACCAAGAGCTTGTAACACTCCAAAGAGAAAGGAAAACTTGAAATCGCATCATATGACCCCTTTAACAACTACTTTTGTTTGGTGAATAATGTAAAATAAACACTAAAAAGAAGATTTAATCTAAAAACTAAAATATATACTAAAAAGAGTGTGAATCATGGTTTCATATACTAAGTATCAACAACTACAAACCACTTTTTTGTCCCAAAGTAGCTAGATTAATTTAGGTTACAATTGCAACCCTATAACATGCAATCTTGTCATTCATTCAGGGTATTTGTATATAATTTTGTTATAAATTACATTTAATTTGGTTAAAATACAATGCTGTTTAAATGATGTTTGATGTGCATTTCTCCCACCAATATTTACAATTGTGCATGATTGATGTGGACTTTTAGTCTCAGACCATTAGGTACCTATAGAAAACCACATCAGTTAAAAGTAATTGGAGTCAGATGGTCCTTCCTGTTCCATTCAACTCATATATGCTGGTTCTTTTATCTGGCGTTTCTTTTATCTTGTTTGTACAGGTACCCCAAGTCCTTTGTATTTCTAGTTTAAGTACTTTGTCAATTTTAGGTGAGCTTTGATATTTTGAATTTGAAGTCAAGCGAATACAATCAGAAACTGGTCTGGGATTAGGAACTCTGAGAGAAAAAAACGAGATTTGTACAAATAATAGGCCCTAACAGTGTAAAGCTACAATGGGGACATTTTGAGCTCAGCTGTTTGCTGTCTGAGAGTGAAGATGGGCTCTCTGTCATACAGATGTTATTGTTAAACGCATGAATATTAAGCAGATCACCGGCGAGTCTCTGTTTAAGTATGCAGCACGCGCCATTCCGATGCGCGCGCTCCAGCACGTGTTTTCGCGGGAGATGTGGGAGGAGCGCGCGGGTCACAGAGCTTTAATTCGGCCTAATTTGCAGGTCAAAGCGAGATAGCACGCTCTCATCCTTTCTTTTCATCTCTCCCGCGCTCCTTCATCTCTCCCGCTCGTTTTCGAGCCGCTTTTGTTCTGCCTATGTGGTCTTGAAAACATTCAGTCCCCTCCCCTCCCCCGACGCCATTTTCTTTCTTTTAGTTGTGCTTGCAAAGGCAATTTAAACAAACCACTAATCCTAGTATTAGGCTGACGATGTTTGGGCTGCGGACAGTAATGATACCTCAAATCGTGAGGTTTGTGTTATTACCTTGGTTTAAAATAATGTTGCCATTTTGATGCTAAGTTCTAACGTGAAAGATAGTCAATATATTAACATATTATTAAAAAATGTATTTAAATGTATTTTTATAGCATAATCGAAATGTTTTCAAACATGTTTTCTTGTAAACATTGTTTTAGTTGATAATCTGTGTCCTCAATTTCTCTTTCCATTCTTTTAGTCCTTACACACACACACACACACACACAAACAAACAAAGGCCAGTAACACTGTCCTTGAAAAAGTGACATAATTTTGGTGAGAAAAACTCAAAAATATTTGCCTCACATATTCCATCCTATTATGTATAGCCTATATTATCAGGGTTATTATAGTTAGCCTATAGGTTATGTAAAAGTAAAATTGAAACTATTGGGAAAAATTGTTTGAAATAAAATAAAGGTTAAATGAAATAAAATAAAAGTTGTAAAAAAAAATCGAGTTGCCAAGGCAACATTTCTCATTTTAATGTAGTTTAACGTGTTGCTACTAAAGTAACTAATAATAAAACTATATAAAAAACTATAGACATAAAAACTACTAAAAATGACAAAAACACAACAAAAGTCCTCAATTTCTCTTTCCATTCTTTTAGTCCTTACACACACACACACACACACACAAACAAACAAAGGCCAGTAACACTGTCCTTGAAAAAGTGACATAATTTTGGTGAGAAAAACTCAAAAATATTTGCCTCACATATTCCATCCTATTATGTATAGCCTATATTATCAGGGTTATTATAGTTAGCCTATAGGTTATGTAAAAGTAAAATTGAAACTATTGGGAAAAATTGTTTGAAATAAAATAAAGGTTAAATGAAATCAAATAAAAGTTGTAAAAAAAAAATCGAGTTGCCAAGGCAACATTTCTCATTTTAATTTAGTTTAACGTGTTGCTACTAAAGTAACTAAAAATAAAACTATATAAAAAACTATACAGACATAAAAAACGACTAAAAATGACAAAAACATAGGTTATGTAAAAGTAAAATTGAAACTATTGGGAAAAATTGTTTGAAATAAAATAAAGGTTAAATGAAATAAAATAAAAGTTGTAAAAAAAAATCGAGTTGCCAAGGCAACATTTCTCATTTTAATGTAGTATATGTTGCTACTAAAGTAGTAAAAAATAAAAAAACTATATAAAAAACTATAGACATAAAAACTACTAAAAATGACAAAAACACAACAAAAGTACTAAAACTTTAACAAAACAAAAAGTTGAGACCCTTAAGTAATGAACAACTTTAATTTTGAACTGTACTTTTTTTGTAAATAAAATGATTTTTGTGTTTTTACAAGAAAATACTGTCTGTCTTATTAAATATTTAATTCATGTGTTTCTTGCCATTTCTTTATAATTGTGAAATTTCCTAGCAATTTCTGAGTACAAATTATTTCTACACCATTTTTTTTCAGTGTGCTTTTGCATACCATTGCCATACCATTGTGTTATCAAGTTAAGAGTTTCTGTTCCTGAACTTATCCAGAAAACAGCATTCATTTTTAACTACAAAGCTCATATGGTATTACTTAACAAGAATGACCCAAATAATACTAATGCTGGATGTGTGTTACTGTAAAGCTACAAGATATTTGGTAATAGTTGTGATTTTCTGTGTCACAAGACCCCAGTCAACAGTGTATGCTTGTAAAGGTATTAAGAACAATAGACTGTTATTTTTAACTATTATATCTTTAGAAAAAAACACAAATTAGACGAGACACAGCTTAAGTTTATATGTACACATTTATTAAAGGAACTTCTTTACAACAATGACAAATATGGCTCAGGATTGTGATTTTGCTCAAGAAAATAAAGCTACATTTTCAACCACAAAATACACATGAAATGTAAAAGTGAAAAAACAATAAATAAATAACTTAGGTCATTACAAAATATATACATGCTGATATATATATATAAAACAGTAAATAGGCTTACTTGTCCTGACTTTAATTTAAAGTTACTTATCAGTTGTAAACTGTAAAGAGCAACCAGAGCTGCTTCTACATGTTTAAATGGCACATACAGCGGTGAATAAATACGATTCCAGAATCACATTATCACGCAATAACTTGAGTCAGACTCTGAGACCTCATTACTTTCGGCCTTTTCCCGCCACCACTCTGTGACGCACGCATTGGTGCGCTTTTTTTCTTCAGAAGATGTGTTTTTATTCCAAGTTTCCGCTTTCCTTATGAACACTGTCCGTTTTCTTCCTCTTCCCATAAAAATCTACAAGAAAACACATTCACAACATTAAAACACGAACACTGTTTAAAAAAAGAAAAAAGAAATATGTTGTCATTGTTCTGTTATAGGCTATATGACTAGTATTTATTTTATAGCAGTATTATTGGTCGCGTATTGTTTAGTTACCTGTAATGCGCATGTCTGCGAGTCTCTTGGTCTGGACGCGAGCGACTGTTTTGCGAGATAATTTTCTTCGGTTACACTTGTTTATATGGTTCCTTTGGTTCAAAATCTTCACCGAACGACCCACACATTTTGGGGCAACTTGGGTGATTCTTTCTGTCTTGGGCGAGTCCACAAAAGGCCTCTTTGATACGGCAGTCGTTTCTCTGTAAAACTGCGGACAGTCCTCAGCTCGACTTTCCTCCCATTTTAAATCCCCATCCAGCGGCTGTCCTTCGCTGAAGTTAAAGTTCCACCTCAGCTGATCTCGTTCAGATATTTCGCGAAGTTTGGAGGATAATTCTTGCCTCAACTCGTCGTGATCCACCGGTCCGAATAGATTTCTGCATGTTCCCGTGCGCTTCAGTAGAGGAAGTATCTCTGCGCTCCTCTGAGGAACAGTTTTCGGTGGAGCCAGTCTTTCCCTGGCGATGGTGGAAAGCAGGACGGCAGACATCGTCGATAGCGGACAAATCCAGAATAAAATGGGCCAAATAATTTTTTTAAATTCTAAAGGGCAAAAAAGTCAGTGTGAATTACAACACACGTCGTTATAGATCGTAAAATTGATTTAATCTCGTCAGATTTAAAGTCCTGCGCCTCAGCGGTGTAAAACTACACGCTCTACTCCTATTGGTCAACATCCCCCATCCTTTTGGTTCTGTTGTTAGACCCGCCTCTACTCCTCTGTGATTGGTTAGACCCGCATATATTCTGCTGTGATTGGTTGTGCATCGTTGCCTTACGCTCTTCTTTTAAATGTATAATTTTAGCGCTTTTTCCCCCGCCGCTCACATTGCACCACCCGGAGTAAAATACGCTGAACTAAAGATAACCGTCTAATTAAAAACTAATTATAATCCAATACATCAAAATGATAGCCATCAAAAAAGTGTTCAGTTAGATGCTTAAAACTTATTTTCTAAAGAATATGTGGTAGGTAGGCCTATATGTGTGTAGCCTGTCATATACAAAAATTAATTTGACGGTTTGATTGGAATAATACACAATAAAAACATTCTATTCAAGTGACATTTATTTCGATTTCCCATAAAATTGTCTCTTATTTAATTTTAACACGTTCTTCACTGACACTGTTTCGTCCTTGGTAAGCAAGTAACTACACTATAAATTATTTTATTATTATGTTCATATACATTTTTTACATTTTGAAACAACGTGTTTATTTCACACTTTTTAAGACAATAATTTTTACTATGGATTTTTATATTTTAATATTAAAATATGGGTCTGGGACAAGGAAAAAAAACCCCAATAGAATCTAATTGAAGATTGAAGTATTTAAAAGTAGCAAATCTAAATCAGTGCTTTATTATAATTCATTTATATTAATATGAAGTTAGAAACTTATAATAAAATCATGAAAGTATAAACTTTCCAGTTCAGTGTTAATTTGACCTTCGCATAACAAAAAGACAAGGGTTGAAATCTTGTAGCAATAAAAATCAACCCCTGAGTCAAGAGTCTGTAGTTGAGGGGGAGAAGAAAAAAAAGAAATGAATCGTTTCTGTTCAGTAGTTGAGCTTTGTGTCTGTGAATAGTTCAACAGCGCCCCCTTTTAATCACAGTGTAGTATTACGTTAAATAAACTTTGAGGCAAATCTAAATAAGATCAGATAAGAAGTTTATGGCCTTGTTAATTGCTGGCTTCACTCATCATATTTATATTCTGTAATCTGCATGTATTAGCGGACAAATGAGTCTGAATTGGAGTCTAACAAATACACACAAATCTTGCTCTGCAACAAGCAAATATAACAAGGTTTATTATGAGAGAGACACACAGAGTTAAGGCTTAGTAATAGTACAGTTTAACCCTTACAATTATAAATAAGTGAACCGAGCTCTACTGAGAACCACTGACATGTTGAGACTGACTGAGTGCTGTATTTGCGCTGAATCTGCTTCCTGTAAAAGCTTTTAGAGTTGTAGCCTAAACAGAAACACCATTACTACGCAAAAGCAGGAGTTAATGTGTTTCGCATAAACAGACTGCTTACATAATGTATGGATGTTATCACAGTGTTGTCGTTTATTAGTTTTAAAGTTCCTGGTTTAATGTAATTTTCACCGTGGAAGGCATGGTCTCTCAGAATGTCTCCTGTGATCATGTGATGGAAATTTCTTATGATTATATAAATCTTTCCACCACACCTAATAATCTGTCATCCTGTGTTTAAACCGGTTAGTCTTTATTTGAAAGATTGTTAGTGCGTTCATGTTTAATAATATGTGCATAATATACTAGATGTATAAAGTATAGACTCGTATAATATACTTACAACTATTCGTACGTTACAAATGTATTAAAGTCGTTTATTAGTTTTAAAGTTCCTGGTTTAATGTAATTTTCACCGTGGAAGGCATGGTCTCTCAGAATGTCTCCTGTGATCATGTGATGGAAATTTCTTATGATTATATAAATCTTTCCACCACACCTAATAATCTGTCATCCTGTGTTTAAACCGGTTAGTCTTTATTTGAAAGATTGTTAGTGCGCTCATGTTTAATAAACCTGTGTGCATAATATACTAGATGTATAAAGTATAGACTCGTATAATATACTTACAACCATTCGTACGTTACAAATGTATTAAATGCATGCACATAAACAACAAATACATAGTGATGTGTTCATCACTGATTGTGGAAGGAGAGAACAGAGCGGCATGTTGTGCGCATGCTTTGATGACCAAACACACAAATTTGTGACGCCGCCTTGTGGGATGAGCGGACATGACGCCATGCCGCGCGACCATGGTTATATTTTTCTGAAGCGCATGAGAGGTGCGCGTGCGCCTGCTGCACTCTGTAAAATCGTTTTATTGGCTTTCAGAGGATGGTGCGTTCGCGTTGCGTTCATATATGAAGCCTGAAGAGGTCATTTTCCTGCCGGTTCTCAAAACCTCGCGGTTAATGCGCTCGCGCTCCGTTACCGGCCAGTGGCGGGACGCTCACGAGCTCATGTGGCTTACTGTGATTTTAGTAGTTTTATTCCAGGTTTAAGGCTCCGCACAGCTGCGCTGGTTTAGCTAGTTCAGGTGAGTCTTTGTTGGTTTGGGTTAGTTATTGGGTTGTAGCGATTTATTCTGGTTTAGTTAGTTCAGGCTTAAATCTCAGCGCAAGTGAGTTGGGTTTGGGTTGGTTAGGTCTGAGTTTTAATTTCAGGTGAGTTAGTCAGGATTAGTTTGGTTGTAAATCACAGCAAGGGTATGGTGGGTTAGTGGTCAGTTTAGTTGCAGGTCAGTTGAATCAGTTCAGCACAGGTCTATTGGTTAGGTTCAGTTTGACATGACAGGTCAGTTGGGTTACAGATAGTTCAGGTGTCAATTAGGTTTAGTTCAGTTTGAAATCACAGGTGTCTGTTAAGTTTAGGTTGGAAGTCATATATGTGTTGTGTGAGGGTAAGTTTGGTTCATGTGTGTTGGCTTTAGATAGTTGTCAGTGAAATCACAGGTGGGTTAGGTTTAGTTTAGTTCAGGTTTAGTTTAAGCTCTGCCGTGATGGCTAAAGGCGAGTGGAAGAGGTCAGGCACAGATGATATCCAGTTAACTGGCCGCTCTGAGTGTGAAGTGTTCGATGATGGAACCAACACGTTCTTCTGGTGAGTTCACGCCACTCATGTTATGGTAATGTTTATGTTTATTAACTGATTGTGTGTTCTTTGATTTCATTGCCTTTCTGTGGTTAATGTGTGTAGGTAGGGATATGATGGTGTGTGTGTGTGTGATGTCCAGAGGCTGTTCAGCTTTGCTCGGCTTTTCTCTCTTCTGCAACCTCAGCAGAATGACACTCGATCAATTAAAGGCTTTAAGATGGACAGATGCTGTGGAAGAGACTCTTTCTCTCCTAGTCTCTTACACAGAACTGTAAAGAAGAAAAACACGACAGATATACGGTGTATAGATTTATAAACGTTAAACAAAGAATGACATTTGATATATTTCATAATATCCCAAAGAATCACAAATTACTATAATAATAATCTTAATAATTATTGTGTTAATAATATTAATAATAATAATCCAATAACATTTATGCTAATTGTCTGCATAAATTGTTTGTTTTAGTTTTCAGTCAATATTCAGAAGTTGTTTTTGTTTTTAATCTTGATTTTTAATGCAGTAATTAATGTAATCAGATTACTATAAATCAAATTATCGTTGTTAATATTTATTATGATGATGATGATAATAATAATAGAAATTAATAATAGAAATAGAAATCCAATAGTACTAATTGTTTTTCTTTGTTGTATTGTAAATTGTAAGGCCTAAAGTGATGATTTTTCCAAAATACTGTATCATATATATATTTATTTAGTTGTTTTGTTATTTTATTTATTTATTTTTGTTCAAAACAGTAGTGTTGTCTTGACTTAAATTTTTAAATGCTATGCTTTTCTCAATTTAAAGGCTTTGAAAAGTTATTATTTAAAGCTACCTTCATTTTCTGTTTGCTTTTATAGGTAACAGCCATAAATGTTGAGAATAAAAACTTTACCTTTTAAAGGTCAAATTACCTCTTGAAAATCAATTCCAAGAACTGGATTTGCTGTAATAAACTGCTGTACTGATCTCTTCTCTCTCCCCCTATGTGTGTGTGTATTGAGGTGTGGTTGTGTTTATGATCAACCTGTATACCAGCTCAGCAGGTTTTGAATGTGGAAAAAAGCTCAAACCAGACTTCTGCCAATAATGTTTGAATGCAAGCACTGTACTCGTTTCGTCTTTTTCTCTGCAGGAGGGCACATACTGTGACCGTGCTGTTCATCCTGACATGTGCTCTGGTTTATGTGACACTATTGGAGGAGACGCCACATGACACGGCGTACAACACTAAAAGGTATGACTGGCATGCAGTCTGTGTGTCCTTTACCTTTAGCAGAGACCAGAATTCAGTTCACAGCGCCAGAGAATGACATGCACCATTTCCTCCTGAGCAGAAGCTAAAGTTAAAGTGGTCCGATGTGGACAGAAATGCCACATGGCTGTAGCTGGGATGGCCTTGGCAAGTGGCATGCTTTCTATTGGCTAACAGGATTATGTGTGACATCTGCTGCTGATCACAAAGTCCAGGTCACGGACTGACCTACTGTGCTTAAAAGCACATGACCTTTATCAGAAGAAAGAGCAGCTAGTATTTCAGTATGAATATACAGTGTGTAGATTTATTAGCAGTTCTTGCAAGTTTTGAACTAACCCCAAGTATTGATCTTTGTGAGACGACCACCTGACACACTTAAATAACAAAAGTCGGGTTTTGATTTATTTTGAACGATAGTTTATAAATCTTTAAAGACAGACCTACTGCAGGATTGTTAATCGATGAAATATGTTTTTGTTGATGCCATCAGCCCTCATTATTTTGCATATTGCTTAAAATCATTGATTTCCTGGTGAAAAAAAAACCACATTTCCCATGATTCTGCAGCGACTCTTCACCAGTCAGAGAACTACGGAAGTCCATTTCCGTCACTGAATAAAAAATGCAATTGCGCCTTTTTATCTCATAATTCAGACTTTTTTATCTCAGAATTGCATCATAAATCACAAACATGCAATTCTGAGAAAGTCTTACTCGCAATTA